AATTTGCCCAAAATGATAGCTCATTAGCAGCAAAGCCAAGCCTTGGATTCAGAGCTCATATTCCTAACCATTGGATAATCTATCCCATTCTGGGATAATGCAGATTCCAAAGCTTCCCGGGACCTACTGAACTGGTTGTCCTTCACACGGTGCCCAGGAGTTTGCATTATAAGCAACGAATACATGAGAACCTCTGCTGTCAAGTGTAGAAGGCTGGGTAAGGCACTAGGGAGACTGGGCGGGCAAGCATTCACTTAGCAGTGGTGGAAGAAGAAAACTGGCTGGCTATGTTCTATAGTCACCTTTATTTTCCTTTTAGAAGAGAGGGCTGACCTTTAGCCTGGTTTGGTTCCTCATTTGGACAGAGCAGTCCATGGCTAAGGCAGCCCAGCTGACTAGAAGAAGGGACTCAGCATATAAACTTCAGAGCTGCCACGTAAGATCAGTGGATTCCTAATGCCCAGAGAGACTAGGCCAAATGGGAGCTGGGAAGCTGAACTCCTTGCTCAAAAGAGGGGCCTTATTTTCCTAGCACAAAGGCACAGTGTCAAGTCATTAATTTAAGACACGTGCTTCCTAAGGAGATGCATGCTATTCACACAAAGGTGCTAAACAGGCCAGCAAAACCTTGGTGGATAAGTACCAACAGGTATTTGGAAGGAACCCTGCACTATGAGGGAAGAGATCTTGGGTGAGTTTTAAAAGGAAGAGTAAATAATGCAGCAATTGCCAAGCTCTGGACATTTCACCAAGCTTCATCCAGTTCTCCCAGCAAACCTATGAGATGGGTCTTTGGATTTCCAAGTTAGGAGAAGAAAATTGAGGCCCTCACAGGGTAAGTGAGCTTTCCAAGATCACACAGCTAGTAAGTGTAAAGAAGCAAACAGAATCAACTGGCCCCAAAGCTGTGTCCTTTCCTCTACATGACCCTGGAACTGCCATTGTCCCCCTGGGGACCTAGAAATTATTGGGGTACACGTTCATGATCTGAAGGGGGCAGGGAGCAGGCAGTGGGGCCTCAAGACACAGGCAATGAAAAGAGGACAAGGGTCCAAAAGAGTACCTTAGAAGAAGTGGAGCACACGCCCTGAGAAGTTGGGAAGTCTCGTAATTTAGATATATGGAGGAAGAGATAGAGAATTGGGATTCTGGTCCTGCTGGTTTGATTTTTTATTTTTTCTGTGTGACCTTGGTCAAGACCTTTAACCTCTCTGAGGTTAAGTTGCCTTTCAGGGTAGCACCTACCTCCTAGGAGTATTATAAATATCTCTTTATTTTGAGTTCAACCCTGCCTCCCCAGTTCCTCCCATCATCACCTATAATGAGACCTCTTTGGAACCGCCTGGTTCCCTGGGCTGGTCATAGGTGGGGCTGACACCCTGTGTGTCACTTCACCTATAAGGGGACTTGAACTCCATGTCAGGAAAGTGATCACCAATTATCAGATTATTCATCCTAGTGGCAGTAATTCTCTACAAAGGAAACTTGTGACGTCCAATGCAGTTTTGTTTATAAAGGTGAAAAATAGTAATATATTGACTGTCCTGGTGATGAGGAAGTTAATGTATCAATTACCAAACATTTCCTTGGTGGAGTATTACTCAGCATTAAAAATGAACGGGCTGGGTGCCAGTGGTTCATGCCTGTAGTCCTAGCTACTTGGGAGGCTGAGATTGGGAGGATCTTGGTTTAAGGCCAGCCCAGGCAAATAGTTCACAGGACCCTGTCTCCAAAATAACCAGAGCAAAATGGCTCAAGCAGTAGAGCACCAGCTTTGCAAGTGCAAAGCCCTGAATTTGAACCCCAGTAGTACCAAAAAAACACTTAAAATGATGAATATGAACAGTATCAGAACATGGGAAGGTGCTGATCGTATCACTTGAAATGAAAAAAGCAAAACACTTCAATCTGCACAGTTATGTGAACAAATAGATCTGTTTCTGGATAAAGAGCAAGAGCACTGGAAAATATAAAGCCCGTCTATTGGGATGATGAGTTTAGGAGTATATTTTTTAAAACTTTTGTTTTCTCTGTTAACACTTCTTTTGTGCAGCACATACATTTTTACCAGAATTAGGGAAAAATCCCAATGCTTACCGCAGAGACAATTTAACGAAGGCACGTTTCGTGTAAGTGCCTAGCACAGGGGAGGCTCAGGCAGTGTAAATGGAGTGAGGGATGAAGAAGGAGTGAACAGTGATCCAGATTAAATCTATTCCCTCCTTTCATCAAATGGTCCTGTGACCAAAAAACAGACCATGTATTGTCCCTAGAGGATTCTGAGAAGAAAACTTTACATCTTTCCTTCAGTTTGCTTTAAAATGATATATCTTAAGCCTACCATGGTGGTTCATTTCTGGAATCTCAGCTACATGGGAGGTGGAGATAGCAGGATCACCCATTGAAGTCAGCCTGGGCAAAAAGTTAGTGAAAGCCCATCTCAATGTATAAACCAGGTGTGGTGGTATGCATCTGTAATCCCAGTAACTCAGGATGTGTAGGTAGGAGGATCAAGGTCTGAGGATAGCCCAAGCAACAAGTATGAGCTCCTATCCGAAAAATAAGTAAAGCAAAAGTGGGCTGGGTGCGTGGCTCAAGCAGTGCAGCACCTGCAACAAGTGTGAGGCCCTTGGACTGTGAGGATGGAAATGGCAGGCAACAGTTCTGCCAGGAGTTTGCCAAGTTGGGGAAGGGGGTCAACAGACTTTTAGTTGTTATTATTCTGGGCACCTCATTTGTTTGCAGATATTTATTTCCCTTAGGCAAGAAAATGTCCCTTGCCTCTGTCCTCTGTGATTCAGGTCATATGTCCTCTTTGGCAGAGGCCTTACTTGGCAACGCCAGTCTTTGTGAGGCATGGAAGACAGCCCTCTGAGCTATACATGGGGATGGAAAAAGTTCCAAAACCATGACAGCCGTGGGGACTGGGACTTCCATAGAAAGACACTGGCCTGACTGTAATTATGTTGTCCAAGTTGTGAAGTTGTGCAGACAAATAGCCCCAAGACCATAAGTAAATGGGAGTGTGGACTGTCCAGGTCAGGACAAAATTCAAGATGGCAGGAGTGGGAAGAACTTTCTCACCATGTCCTTGGGTAGAATCTGCTTATGACCAAAGTTCAGCTAGGAGCTCTGTCCCTAAAGGCCCAACAGTGACCAGATCCTCACACAATTTTTTTTCTAAGAAATTCTGAAATCAGCATTGCCCATCTCCAACTCATTGGCCTGACGCCAGCAGCCAGGGACAGAGTGACAGCTACATTTATCTCACGGGATTGTTCCATCCTGAGCAGAGGACATGGCTTGGAGAGTTTTCACAAAAATTAATTATGGTCTATCAGAGGATCCCCGCCAGGTCTGGGAAAGTTTTCAGCAGTGCGTGTTTGCAAAGCAGGAACACACGCACACAAATTAAATAATGAACGTGAAGATGTTTTACAAACAACTCCGTGAGGAGCGTGTTAACACCCGGGGCTCCTGTTTGATTTGCTTGGGTCCCTAGCATCAGCCAACAAGTGGCCAGCGTTTGATGAACAACCAACCCAGGCCTGGTGGCAGAAGGGGGCCTTCTGCTGCAGAACTCTTGGTTCTCTCCTGGGCCAGGTGGCATAGCTCAGGTGCCACAGTTACCCACCTAATGATGTCCTTACCCAAGAGGACACGAAATGGTTTGTTCTTGTGTGAGTTATTAGGAACCCTCGAGCCTGGGGGCTGACTTGTGAATGAAGAAATCTCTTGCTGCAAGGAATTCTATTAGAAACAGAGTGGCTGGGCCCAATTTCTCTTGCTGACTCTCTGTGAGGGCAATTTCACTGCCCTGGGGACTTGCTGTCACACAGGGCAATCCAAGTCTCTCCTGCCAGAAGCCAACTCCTTTGAGCTATTTAACGGTTTGCCTTAGTAACAGTCCCCTCCTCTAACCACGGTATTATCCCCACATCACATCATCGATGTGAATGATATGACAAAGTGACAACTTCAGCAGATAGGCTCGGGGAAGACACTACCCCTCCCTCCTGTCAGACGGAACAATTTTCTTCACTTTTTTTTTTTTCAGTGCTGTGGTTTGAATTCAGGACCGCCACTCTGAGCCACTCTACCAGCCCTATTTGTGTGTGTGTGTGTGTGTGTGTGTGTGTGTGTGTGTGTGTGTGTGAAGGGTTTTTCAAGATAGGGTCTCTTGAACCATTTGCCCAGGCTGGCTTTGAACGGCGATCCTCCTGAGCTCTGCCTCCTGAGTAGCTGGGATTACAGGCGTGGGCATGTTTTTTTGGTTTTGTTTGTTTGTTTGTTTTTGAAACAGGGTCTCCCTCTGTAGCCCAGCCTCATCTTGAACTTGACACCCTCATATTTCAGCCTCCCAAGTGCTGTGACTATAAGCATGCAGCACCATGCTCAGCAATTTCTTCCTTCTTAACTGAAGCTTTTCCCTCACAGTTTGTCATCGAGTTGAGGTGAGATTTCAGTGAGTCAAGGCAAATAAGACTGTGAGGGTTGTGCCTGGCATACAGAAAGCCCTCAATATAGATTAGCTTTGAAAAGTGCTGAAAACCAATGTGGACATATATGTATTTATAAAGAGATATAAATGGGATCACACCTAAGGAACTGAAAACACTACCTTAAGGAAACTATACTAAGAAAACAGAGAGAGTCAGAAAAGTCTTATGTATAAGATGATCATCAGAATATTGTTCTTAACCAAAAAAAAAAAAGACTGGAAAATCTAAATTTCCAATAATAATGAGACAAATTATGCCACTTCTCAAAAAAAAAAAATCCTCGTGTTCAGAAGAACTTAATGCCGTAAGAAAACTGTCGTGATAGGTGACAAGGGATATACGACCATTCACACCTGATCTCAGTTACAGACACTCCAAATAAACACCCATGGAACAAATATCTCTGCAAGAACAGATTGGATGGAAATGTCCCACATGTTACTTGTGTCTCTTCTAAGAATTAGAGTTCTTCACTCGGTCAGTTTTTCTCAATTGCGCATGTGCGGTGAGCAGTGTTCATTCTACAGACAGAGCGCAAAATACAAAGTTGATAATCTACTGCCATACCGTATTTCAAAACCTTTTGAAGATGGGGCTGTGGACCAGGCCAGTGGCAAGCATTTGAGAAAACCATTCTGCCTCTGAGGCAGTCCTCAGTAGCTGGTGACTCACAGGACGAGAGGACATGGGTTCCAAGCTTTCTAGCTTGAGCGACAGCATAATGAGTGATGGGGTCATGAACCACAATGGGAAAGAAGAAGACTGGCTGGGAGGAAAGAGAAGACATTTTGCTTGGCTTGTTGAGTTGCAGAGCCCAAAGGATTCCCAGATAGAAAGGCCTGGTCAAAGATGGCGATAAGGGCCAGACATTGTGTCACCTGCCTGCAATCCCAGCTACCTGGGAGGTAGAGACAGGAGGACCACGACTGGATACATCCTCCCCTCTTCCCCCAGGCAATAAGTGTGAGATCCTATCTGCAAAAAAACTAAAGTGAAAAGGGCTGGGGTGCATGGGTCAAGTGGTATCTGTCTAGCAAACTCAAGGCTCTGAGTTCAAACTCAGCTCTACCAAAAAGAAAAAGCAAAAGTGGCAGTATTCAGGACTAAGACTTGGAGAAGACTTCACTAAGACCAGGTGGGACCCATCAGGACCCCTTGAAGTCACAAGCTTGAGAGACTCAGCCACAAATTTGGAGCTCAGCAGATTTGGGGTTCTACTTGGCCCAAAATGTGACTGTCTCCCTTGGTTACAGGAACCACTGCTCAGTGACAGGGAAGAGTCTTCAGACACTGGCTGGGACACAAATGCTGTTTGGCACTGTGGTGTAACTGTAGGAATGGTGTTCAAAATGACAGCCCCTGCCTCACCCTGTGACACCTGGCAAAACCATCCCAGGTTTCAGCGCCAGGAAAGCGTGAGCTCCTGACACTCTGAGTCTTGTAATAGCTCCTATTTCCCTCCTTTGATCTGGCCAATAGGAAGCTCAGAACACACTCTATGGCTGATTTAAGCAGCTTCATAGGATCAGATCATATGCATTTTAGGATGCTAATATTAACATCTCTATCTTTGTTGGTTTATTGCCCTTCATTTATATTTGTTCCAATTTCTTCAACTATGAATTTTTGTGAACTAAAGTCAAAATTTTTCTTCCATCTCAGGCCCACACATTGATTCTCTTTCTAATTCTTGGAGTTGCACAAAATAATTCACAGTCCCTCTCTCCACAAAAGCCCTTGGACTCTTTTCAGTGCTGGGATTTGAACTTAGGACCTCTCACTTGCTAAGCAGGCACTCTGCCACTTGAGCCATGCCCCCAGCTTTTTTTGCTTTAGTTATTTTTCAGATAGGGTCTTGCATTTTTGCCCAGGGCAGGGACCAGACTGCAGTCCTCCTACCTATGCCTCCACACAGTTGGGATTACAAGCCTGTTGCTGAGATGGGGCAGTGGGGACAGGGTGTCTTGATAACGTTTTGCCCAGACTAGCCTCAAATCACAATCCTTCTGATCTCCACTTTCTGAATAGCTGGGATTATAGGACTGAGCCACTGTACGTAGCTTCTTAACTCATGTTGTTCATAAATCCTATTATTTTAGACACCAGAGCTCCAATTTCTTCAGTAAATTCTCATGGATGTGAGCTCTTAAAGAACTTTCATCCTTCTAGAATGCACTGGTGCCTTGTCTTCTCTTGGCTTCTTGGGACAACTCCCCTCACTATCATACTTAGGGCAGCCATGTTCAATGGCTGGTTTCATGCTTGCCTCTTCCACAGGGTTGGGGAATCCCAAAGGCAGAGGCCATGCCCTCCTTGCCTCCAGTTGGACCCAACCCAGACAGGACCTGGCCATCAGAGATGCCTAATGAGTGCGGAGGGAGAGAACAAGAGAATGAGCACACAACCTCGTGTTCTGAACATCAACTGCCTTGCTGTTCCCCAGAAAGGAGAGAGGGAGAATCTCATTCCATTCAGTTGTTTGTGGACTTTCCATCTACAGCTCCTTTTCATCATCTCTGCACTTCTGGGAGGCCCTGGGCACTGGGGCAAGAGCTTGTTCTCACAGCTAAATCCAGAAAAAATAGACATAAGACAGAATTGGTCCTGGGAGGGCAACTGAGGAAAATTTTCACAGAAAGAAAAGATTTCACAGGTCAAAAATGCCAGATGGGCTGGGTGCAGTGGCTCAAGCCTACTGTCCTGGCTACTTGGGAGGCAGAGTTAAAGAGGATCCTGGCTCTAAAGCCAGCATGGGCAAAAAGTTCAGGAAACACCATCTCAATGACTAGCTGGACACAGTGGTGCACACCTACCATCCCCAGCTACAAGGGGAAGCAAAAATAGGAGAATTGTGGTCCAGGCTGGCCCAGGTAGGTGTAAACGTAAGACCCTATCTCAAAAATAATCAACACAAAAAGGACTGGCAGAGGGGGTGGAGTGGTAGAGGGCCTGCCTAGCAAGCCCAAGGTCCTGAGTTCAATCCCCAACCCCCTGCAGCGCCCCCCCAAAAAAGAAAAATGCCAGATGTTAGATGCTCCAATGAGTTCTTACTTTCACAACACGCCCTTACCCAGGTGCTAACTGTACCAGGCATCATTCTGAGCTCTTTACAAACATCTATTTGTATCCCTGTTTTATTTTCAGATGGTCCTCTTCGCATTCAAAGCAGCTCTCTTGAAATGAAAGAAGGGGTAGCTATTGAGTCACCAAATAAAAGAAACTCAGCTGCATCAGGTCCAGTGTACAAATGGCTGACAGGCTGAATGTTGGCCTTTGACCTGAGACCCGGATCCCACAGAACCCCACACCGCCCACTGAGCATTTGCTGAGTGCCTATCTCGTGCCCAGCTCTGTCTTTTATTAGCTCACAGCCTGGTGGAGGAAGCACACACCTAAACAAATAAATTAGCAGCCTGTGTGACAGGTACATTAGGCTCAGGGGCACAGCACAGTGCTGGCAGCAAGGAGTAATTCGCTCTGGAAATGAGAATTGCTGGAGGGTGGGATGTCTCCCTTCTGTTTTAAGGATGGGGAAGAATTCAAGGTGGAACAGCAGAGGTGGGGGAGGTAAGAATGAGAAGACATGAGAGAAATGACATTTTAGGAAGTGTTAGCAGGAAAGTGGAGAGAGGGGAAGAGCTGGGAGATGAGGACTAGTCAGGTGTAGCCTTGGCTGGAGGCTTAAAATTACTGAACAGTCTGGTCATTTATGTTCTGGAAATATTCTTTAAGCAGCTGTGTGAGGGAGAGTGGAGAGACCCAGAGATCAGGTAGGAGACTGTTTAATTAACCAAGGAAGAAACGGTACTCTGGAAACAAAGGTGCTGGATTCTAGTAGGCTTTGGACTGATGGGACGCTGGCATAGAAGTTGACACCTGGGCCCTGCTGACTTAGACAATCAGGAGGTCAGTGCAGCAAAGGAACAGGGAGGGGCCAAGAGGTAGTTTTCAGGAGTGAGGACAAGCTTGGGAAAGCCCAGCTGGACAGCAGAAACTCTCTTCATTGTCTCAGGTTAGTTTTTCAGACTCTCGCTCACATCTCCTCTAAATAATGTGTGATGCATTTCAATCCATCGTCATAATGGAAAACTACTGCCCTTTGCTGGCAATTAATAACCTTTTGAATTAATAACGTTTGGCAGGAGAACCGGTTTCATTACTGCCCTTGCACTCCATAGGTTCAGCATCTCTTGATCTTGCCATCCCCTGAAACCAAAATCCCAATATTTATTATTTGAGAAGTCTGAGTGATTTTATACTCAGGAATAATGATCAAGAGCTTTAGTGATTGTTGCTCAATCAAGTCACTGGCCAAAGATGTCAGCGTGACCTCATGTCTGTCCCCCAGCCTCAGGAGAGCCCACCCTCTACCAGAAGGGAATGTGTGAGCTTCCTTCTACAGGTCTTGACTCAATCTCTAAACATGGCAGAAATATTTCACCCATCTTGATGTGTCACCCATGCACACATAGCAACTTCTCAGGCTTCAGCTGGCCTCTAAGCACAGGTATCTTTCTTGGCCCACACTGTGGCCTCGACCGTTGCTGGGCTACCTGGCCTGGCTGGATGATCCATCTGCCTCCACAAGTGTCACATGGTCAGGGCAAGGATTTCCCGAAGATAGGCTCCAAAGCCCTTCCATAAAACCACGAGAAATCATAGAAACCGTCTTTTCCTCTCTGCCCCACAATCTCTGAAAGACTCTGTAATCACCTGTCCTTTTCTGCTAAAGAGCCCTTTACCAGCAGCCTGTCACCTACAGGCCCAAAGTCCAGGCTCTTCAGCATCCCAGGGCTGGCCATGTCGTCCTTCCAAGTGCTGTTCCCTGTGCTGGGGAAGCCCTACCCCCAGCCCAAACACACGCACATCCTCTATCACCCTTCCAGACGGGGATCAGCACCCAAACAGCCTCGCCAAATACCATTCCCCCATCAAGCCGAACCCATCATCCCACCCCCATGAGCAAGCCTTGTTCTTGTGAACCTTACAAGATATAATGGGTCCAGAGAACAGGTGTATTGGGGGGGATACACAGTGCTATCTAATTAAGTCGCTCTATCTGCTGTCTCCCTAGCACCAGAAGACACACCTGGGTTCAAATTGCAAGTCTACCACTTTGTGGCAGTGTGATCTGGGGTGAGGGGCCACCCTCTTCAAGCTTCAGTCCCAGTGGCTTTACCTACGTCCCTCATGGCCTAGTCTTTCCTCTCGTGCATGACTGGCTGGTCACTGGGATGGCTGGATAGAGGGTGGAGGAGCTGCCCCTCAACACATGTTGGGTTTTCCTAGGTTTCCCTCCATCGATTGGCCAATCCACGGCAAATGCTGTTGGGTTCCCCAAAGTTCCTGCCTGCTGATCTACAGTACCTCTCTGGCTGTGCTCTCAGCAGCCTGGGGGTGGCCCCAGAACTAGTAGAGGTGTATCAGATGCCAGGCTAAGCACTGTCCCCAACTTTCTATTCCAGAGCTGTTTGGGAGAAGACCTCGAGCTGTTGAAACACAGGGATCGCTGCAGGAGACAGAGACCAGATTCCTGCTCTTCAAAGACGATCCGGGTCGGGGCTGCCGGATCCGACTCCACCACCCAGACACACTACAGGAGTGCGGCTTCAACTCCTCCCAGCCTTTGGTGATGATCGTCCACGGGTGGTCGGTAGGGAATGCTGCTGGCCCTTTCCTCTCTGCTTGACCTCAGCTTTTTTCTTCTTAATGTGTTTGGTTTTTGTTGTTGTTGCCACGCAGTAGTGGTACTGGGGTTTGAACTCAGGGTCTTGCACTTGCTAGGCAGGCTGTCTACCACTTTAGTCACACCTTGAAGCCCTTTTGGCTTGAATTATTTTTCAGGTAGGGTCTCACATTTTTTGCCCTGACTGGCCTCGGTTCATGATCCTCCTACCTATGCCTCCCAGTTACCTGAGATTACAGGCATGAGTCGCTTGTCCAGCCCAGGTACTACTGTTCTAAGGGCTTTACATCCATCAACTTGTTTCATCTTCACAACCATCTTGGAAGGAGGACATTATTGTCCCTCTTATGTTCCAAATGGGGAAACTGAGGCACAGAGGTGTTAAATGACTTGTGCACAGTCACTCAGCTAGTAGCTGGGGGAGCCTAGATTTGGAAGCAAGATGCTACAGGCAGATAGCAGGTACCCGATAAACATGAAAAGAACGAGTGAATATTCCCCCATGAATGCATGTGGGCAGGCAACAGAGCTCTTCCACTTCCCCCCGTCATCTGGTCTTCACCTCACCCAAATTTCTCCAGTCCCCAGACATACTACGCCATTCCAAGATTCTGTCTGTCATGGTTGCTGTTCCTCCTGCCTGGCAAGCCCTAGACAACCCCTATCCTCTCCTGCCCACCCCCATTCTTTCTACTGAACTCTGCTCATCCTGCAAGGCACCGCACAAACACTTTACCCTGTGGCTGCATTAGGAATGCCCTGAAAATTGGTTCTCAAGCAGGGTGCACACCCAGAATGATTCTCCATGCCCCTACCACATTCAGGCCCTTGCTCTCAGCCTGGCCATAGTGAGTCAAAGACAGTAGGCAAGGGTGTAGCCAACGCTGTGGGAGTCCAAGGTGTGGTAGAGCCTGCAGAAGAGGTCAGTGGAGCTGACCCTCAAAACTTAGGTCAGGTTTCAGGACTTGGTTTACAAACCCTTTGCCATTGTTTTAGGGCTCAGAAGGTTTAAAACAGGGGGGAGCATTTGGCGAATTCTGGAGACATTTTTGGTTTTCAAAATCTGGGCTGTAGGGCTGGTGCTCAGAACTGGGATCCCAGCTCCTCTAGAAGTGGAAACTGGGAGGATGGCATTTTGAGGCCAGCCCAGGCAAAAAATCAACAAGTTGCTATCTCAACCAATAAGCTGGCATGGTGGCCCATACCTGTCATCCCAGCTACACAGCTGGCCTGGGCAAAAGTGAGACCCTATCTGAAAAATAACTAAAGCAAAAAACAAGGGCTGGGTTTGTGGCTCAAGTAGTAGAGCACCTCCCTAGCAAGTGCCAGGCCCTAAGTTCAACACTAGTACTGAAAACAAGATCCGGAACTGGAAAAGGTCATGTCACCTAGTGGGTGGAGCCAGAATGCTAATGACCAATGCATAGGGCAGCCCCACAATTAGAGCTCCCTAAACCCAAATGTCCATGGTACTAGGCTGAGAAAACTCGTGTCAAGCCCTTTCTGTTAGGGGGGTGGATGCAGCATTGTTCAAGAGCTGGGGACAAAAGAGGAGTACACAGGGAGAAGAAAAACTAGTACGACCCTCCCAGGACCACCTCCCAGTGACACTGACCACCTGTGACCCACCCTCAGGTGGATGGCATGCTGGAAAACTGGATCTGGCAGTTGGTGGCTGCACTGAAGTCCCGGCCAGGCCAGCCCATGAACGTGGTGCTGGCAGACTGGATCACCCTGGCTCATCACCACTACACCATTGCTGTCCGCCACACACGCCTCGTGGGTCAGGAGGTGGCGGCTCTTCTTCGGTGGCTGGAGGTAAGCCGCCCACCCTCCTGGGTCCTCCCCGATGGGGGGTGGGAGTGGTAAGATGCTCTCCAAGTGCACCCCAGCTCCAATGATTAGATCATAGGCCTCTCTCAGGTGCCTCGGTGACCCCAATTTTGTAGACTTGCCTTCTCCCTACTTCCCGTCCACTATTTCTTTTACACTCACCCCTTTGGATGTGCTAAGGGATCTAACCACACCCTGGAAACCATCAAGCCCTGTACAAGTCAGTACGATCACTTTTATGGCCAGGTGGAGATGGGCAGGGTCTCAGGCAGCTGGGGCCAGACCCCCTAGGGGACAGAAGGGATCAGGTGAGAAACCAGCTTTATTTCTGTTGGGAGACTGAAAAATGCTCATTTGTGAGCATCCCAAAGCCCAAGGTAGATGCTAGAACCAGCTGGACTCACAGAAGATTTCATCAAGGCAGTGCCTGCTCCCACACACCTTGCCTCTGTCTTCCAGGAATCTGTGCCATTTTCTCGAAGCAATGTTCACCTAATTGGGTACAGCCTGGGTGCACACGTCTCAGGATTTGCCGGCAGTTACATTGGTGGAAGGCACAAGATTGGGAGAATTACAGGTAACCGTGGCTGATCACCACATGCTGTAAACTCCACAGCTGCCCTGAGGGCGTCCAAGCAAGGATCTGCTTTTCCATCGGTGTCATCATTAAGACGCCTGACTTCTTCCCTGATGCATTTGAGTTCAGGGAGGACTATAACCGTCTTCAAACATGACACTGTCATAAATTGCTCTGTTCCAAGAGAACACAGAGCCAATTACAGCCTGGATTCCTGTTTCCTTTTCTCGAATGAATGTCGCTTTCTGCGCACTTTTGTAGCAAGGAGGTCTTATTTTTAATCTCTAGTTTAAAAAGCCCAGTGTGGGTGAGTTAGGGAGGGAGAACTGTAGCCTGGATTTGCTGTAATGCGTCAGCCACACTAATATCTCAGACTCCACAGCTGTGAAACACACAGACCTTTAGCAGGAAACTGTTTGAGTTGAAGGAGGGAGATCTGTAGCAAAAGCCTCACCCCCAACTCCAGACCCACTCAGATGGCCTTGGTCACCTGCAAGAGTTGGCCTGGGTGCTTTTTCTCCAGGCAACTCTGATGCCAACCTCATCCCCAACTCTGCCCTAGAATTGGCTTCCAGACGCAGCACACTTGGTCAGATTGTTCCCCAGCAAAATCTCTGAGATCCACTGATTCCTATGGGGCACGGACACCTTCTTGGTGTAGTGTCCCCTGAGGGCCACAGCTTTACTCCTGTCACCCCCTTCCCATAGTTCTGAGCTTCAACAACACCAGACTTATCTCCACTTTATGAATATACCATGGCCTCTTGTGCCTTTGGGCTTTGCAAGTATGCCCACAATTTAGCCCTCCTTCCTATCTACCAAACTCCTACTTATCCTTCAAGACCCAGCAGGCTAGAACAAAGAACATCTGAGATGAAAAGCATAGACCTGTTGTGACATTTTCATTTATCAAGTAAAAAAATTTAGGACTATTGGTGTGGCTCAAATGGTCGAGCACCTGCCTAGCAAGCACAAGACCCTTAGTTTAAACCCCACTACTCCTGCCTCAAAGGGGAAAAAAAGGTATTTATTTTAAAGTGAAAAAGGGTCGGATGATGGGCGACATTGAAACGGAGTAATTTGTCATTCTGAGAACTCATAGTAATGACTCATCTCTTTTTTTTTTTTTTTTAATTTTCCCTCATCTTGCTGGTAACAGGAGGCGGGGCCACTCCAACCCTCTGGCCCCTGCTGACTTGACCCTCAAGTTTCCACAAAGGCAGTCAGGCCCCACTTAGGGAGCAGGCCGGAGGCTCAGTCAGAAGTCAGCCAGGCAGCCTCAGGCCTGCACCCGCCCTCTCCGCCCTCTCCGTGTGACTGGTGTTTCTGGTCACATCAGAGATTATTAACCAGGCCACCCACACCAGAGCCAGGGAGGGCTCTTTAGCCTGTTGTCATCTGGGGGATAGGGGTCAATTAAGGCTGCAGTGGAGCTGGAGAACAGGTGAGCTCACAGCTCACGGCTACTTCCTGTCTCCTACCCCCAGGGAGATGGCAGCCAGGCTGATGGTAGCCAGGCTGATGGCACCAAAGGGTCCTCCAGAGAAGACAAAGGAGGAAAGGCAAGAAAACCCTTTAGTGCATGACCACTGGCCTAGTCACCCGCCAGGAACTGCCACTTGTCTCAGGCAACACATCTGTCACTCAAGGTCCAGAACCTTAAGCTGCCCAATTTGCTCACGACATTTCATCTTGGAACAGTAATGTCCTAAGGCTGTGCTGGACCTTCCAGTGAAATGTTATTGGTGCAGGAAAAAAGCCAGCTTGTTTAGGGAAATTACTGACAACACGCAGGCAAATAAATTCTTTCTGTGATGGATAGGTTATAATGAGCACATTGGGGCTTCTTATGCAAACAGATGCTATTGAAAGCTGGAGAGGTACTTAAAGTTGATTGATTTAAATAAATCAAGCATTCACGCATAATCTTTTTTCTTTTTCTTTCTTTTTTTCTCCCCTCCCCATTCTGGGGTTTGAACCTCAGGGGTTCCTAGCTAGGGAAGTGCTCTGTCACTTGAGCTGTACCTCCAGCTCTTTTTCACTTTGGTTATTTTCAGGAATGGTCTTGCACCTTTGCCTGGGCCAGCCTGAACCTCCATCCTCCTATGTATACTTTCTGCATAGCTGGGATTATTGACTTGAGCCACCATGTCCAGCTTATTTGTTGAGATGCGGGTCTCACTAACCTCTGCCCAGCTGACCTTGAGCCTCTATTCTCCCAATCCCAGCCTCCTAAATAGCTGGGATTAAAGGCATGAGTCACAATACCTGACTCCTCATAACCATACTCCACCAGTGGATTGTCTATGCAAACCCCTTCCCCCCTCCTAGCTAACACCTGACCTGTTTTTAATAGTCAGCATTATGAATTACAGGGGTTTTATTGCAAATGGTTATGGTAAGGTGTTCTAGAGGATTAGCCCTAGGGTTCTCATCTTAATAAATGTGTACTAGAATTAAATAGTTAAAAGGGGGCCACCTGACCCTTCCCTGGCTTTCCCTTCAAGGACTGGATGCAGCCGGCCCTTTGTTCGAGGGAACGACCCCCAGCGACCGTCTTTCTCCAGATGATGCAGACTTCGTGGACGCCATTCACACGTTTACGAGGGAGCACATGGGCCTGAGTGTGGGCATCAAACAGCCAGTAGGGCACTATGACTTCTACCCCAATGGGGGCTCCTTCCAGCCCGGCTGCCATTTCCTAGAGCTCTACAAACACATTGCACAGCACGGCTTACATGGTGAGAAAGAAGTCATGGCCAAGGGCCTGCTTCCCACACCCTATGGGCCCTCTGCCACCTACCAACTGCTGGTTCTGCAAGAGTCCAGGTCAGGGGTTTGGTCACCAAGGCCTCTCAGAGGGAGGGCTTCTGGGAGCGAGGAAGGGCTGATGGACCCCAGGCAGAGGAGAAGTATCAGGACCTGTCACCTCTCTCCCTTGCCCAGGGCGCCCAAGCCAAGCTGCTCCAGGGACCCCGGCCCTTTTGAAAGTTGAGTCCTGATGCTGGTGGTTGCTGGAAGTTTCCTCACTGGGAAGAGGGAGGTTCCCTCTGTTCTGAGCCCAACCAGGATCCACTTTATAGAGATGGCTTCTTCATCCTAGTTCTCAAGAAAGTGGGAATAACTCTTCTCCCACCCCCATGAGGCTCAATCAGCCTGATCCACAGCTGATTGGTTCCTCCAATGTCAAGTTCAGCTGCAAATCTGTCCTTTCATCCATCCTCAAGGCAGAGTCTGGATGTGTTATGAGCTGGGTAGGGATCCCTCTTCCCTGTCAAACCCCAAAACCCAGACACTAACATGCACACGGAAAACCGCACAGGATGAAGGAACACAAGTGCTTCCATGGGCCTCCCAGATTTCTCTGTTCCAAAGCATGACGTCACCTTCTCTCTCAAATCACCCAAAACTCAGCTGAGCACACGGTCTTTGGGGATTACGTCACCACTCTTGCCTCTCCGTATCACAGTGACCTTCATGCTTCACATTATCTCATTTTGGAGGGATGCCCAGCCTTCCTCCCGCCCACGCCCTCCTGAGAACCTTTGGGAATGTCCACTTGTCTTCGCTTCCATCTTTCCTGGGTTACCATCTCTCAGGTCACAGCCATTCCCAGCTGATCGCCCAGTCCTCCTTTCAAATCCACACAGACCCCAGGATGGTGTTCAGAAAAATGCTTGCCTGGTAAACACATCCCTGACCCGTGGCCGCCATGTGTTCTTCTGTCTACACTTCAGAGTGGTGTAGCCCAGTGTTTGCATTTGACTTACCTGACCTTGGCGGGGGGCGGGGGGAGAGGGGGGAGGCTCAGTTTTCTTCACTCCTGGTTTAAGGAGGAGCTCTCCCAGCCATGCATGAACAGAAGGTAACGTGATAGTGGCCTGGCACCCTCTCCTGTCCTGGCTGCATGAGCTCAGTATAGCAGCTGCCTCCAGGCTCTGCAGGGCAGTGTGGGCAAAATGGGTGAGTGTCCAGCACACAGCACAGACCTGCCTCCCAGGCGTTCATTAAACGCACCACTGCCACCAAGAACTGAGATGACTGATCCTGGCATTCAGCCTTACAGCACTTGAAGAAGTGACTTTAGACAGTTTCCTGTGCTCAACTTTTGCATTAGGTGTTTTACAGGTTTTGTGGTGGGTCTTTAACCTTCCTTGAGAATAACTTACTAGAAATCAGGTTAAGATTTGGAGGGGCTTTGTTTTTTGTTTTTTAAAGAAGGTCAAAATTCACAGTAGATAAACCTGTTAAGGAAGCTTGTTTGGATTGGGCCTGTTCAGACTTAATACCTGAAGCCTGTCTTAAATCCAGTGCCCTTGTGGACTCAGCCTGTTACCTGGGGTGCAGTAGGGCCTTTGGACATGAGGTGGACATGCTGGGACAGGGCTCAGCTTGTTCCAGGCCATTTGCCACGTGAGTGCCTCACGGGTCTAGTTTTGGTAAGAAAGGAGGTAACCCACACACCTGATCAGCCTACTCCCCCTCCAGGCCTCAGCACACACTGGAGCATTTTTTTTTAACCATTTCAGGATACTCTGTTTTCCTTAAACAAAAAATTATTAGCATAAATTAACTGTACAAAGGAGTTTCATTGTGCTATTTACAACATGCATGTCGATCAGATTTATCCTGTCTGTGTTGCTCTTTCATAACTCCCTCCTCACTCAACAGTGTTTATTAGTGGGTTTCACTGTGCTGTTTTCATACACACATGCACACGCGCGCGCACACACACACATATAATGTACTTCGATCATATTCATCCTCCCACCCTTTTCCCTCTTCCCTTCCCACTTGTTCCCCCTCCCCAAACAATCTCCCTTTTATAGTCATGACATATGTTTTGGTTTTTAGGTTGGATTTTGTATATGAGTGAAAACGTGGTATTTGTCTTTCTGAGCTTGGCTTATCTTGCTTATGTGACGATCTCCAGTTCTATCCATTCTCCTGCAAGTGACCATTTTGCTCTTCCTCATGGCTGAATAACACTCCACTGTGTATATACTCCCCATTTTCTTTACCCATTCACTGGTCGATAGGCACCTAGGTAACTCCGTAGCTTGGCTATTGTGAGCAATGCTGTGATAAAAACGTGGGTGTACAGGGGTGTCAACTTTATGCTGACTTCATTCCTTCGGATATTTTCCCAAGAGTGTCTGCTTTCTAAAATAGTTTGACTTTTCCCTAGTGATGTGGGGTGCCTATGAAAACATCTCCTACACCACACTGTCACAGAAGGGAACCCTCAGACCCCAGCCGTGCCTAGAGTTTTCCCCTAAAATATGCCCTAAAGATGCCCTAAAAATACCCTGTAAATCACCGAGAGGAGTCTACTTCAGTGTTTTGGTCAGTTGTTACCTCTCCCTGCTGTGTGTGGGGGGGTGGCAACCTCATCAATCCCACCCTGACCTCCCCTCCCCAATGTGCTGCCACTAATCTGCTGTGGCCTGAGAAACAAGAGGATCCTTTGAGCTAAGGGCACTTGGGATTCAGGAGTGATAAAGTCTTTCTTGCCCTGTGTTCCAGCCATCACCCAGACCATAAAATGTGCCCACGAGCGGTCGGTGCACCTCTTCATCGACTCCTTGCTGCATGAGCACATGCCGAGCACGGGCTACCAGTGCAGCGACATGGACAGCTTCAGCCAGGGCCTGTGCCTCAGCTGCAAGAAGGGCCGCTGCAACACGCTGGGCTACCACGTCCACCAGCAGCCGCACAGCAAGAGCAGGCAGCTCTTCCTCGTCACCCGGGCGCAGGCCCCTTCAAAGGTGAGCGCCGGAGGGCAGCCTGGGTCCCCTATCTGCAGGGCTCAGGAGCTCAGCTAAGCTGGCCTGGGGTTTCCAAGGCTACACAGGCTCCAGGCAGCAATGCGCCCACCTTTCTCCTTTCCTCCTGCCCTTGGCAGGAGGAGTTTTGCTAAATTCTGGAATAATCAGCCCACTCTCTATTTTCATGGTCCCCTAGAGCACTAGATGCTCTAGAGGTTATCTGGACCACCAGCTCTCATTGTCTGGGGACTTGGAGACCCCAAACCCAGACTAGAACCCTGCTCTTCCATCTCCATTCTCAGCCCCCATGAAAACACAGGGTGCCTGGCTGCCCATGCAGCTTCAGGTTTCAGCTCTAAAGTATGACTCACCAGTCTTAGAGGACACTGTGGTCCTGCAGAGACCCTTTCCCAGATGAGAGGTACCTGCTACTGTTTCCCAGCCACATCCTTTGCTTCAGGGCAGAAAGCCAGCCCCTGACAATCTCTGTGTGATCAGGAGTTGGGAGAAAGGGCTATGACCTTGTCCTAGGCCAAAGCCAGCAAAGAAATGCCCCACTGAGGCCTGAATCCTCCTGGAGGGAGCCAGCCCACATTTCTGCTCGGGGTGATGTTGCATCTTACAGCTTCACACTGTCCCCTGGGGATGGGGACAGGGACTGGAAGGAGGCCCCTGGTGCTGTGCTGTTCCACTGTAACTGTCTAGGGAATGTGAACAGACCATCGCCACTGCTTGATTCCTGCACAGCGTTTTACACAACAGTAGAGAGTGTTCCATTCCTTGGGGTTCTCACAGCAGCCAAGTGAGGCTGGCAGGACTGGCTAGGCCCTCTTTCTAAACAGGAGGAAAGTGGAACTTGGGTGGAGTGCCACAGTCACATGGCTGGTGGAGTAGGGGGTACTGGAAGGGGACCCTCCCAGTGCTGCTTTGTAACCCTCCTCACAAGTTCAAGGCCCCAGGAGACTCAATTTATCTGTTTATCTGAAATCTGGTTATCAGTCAGATTTCTCTGCTGAGAGCCAAGCAAGCCTAAGAATGACAGAGACTGCTGGTGTGAGGGTGCAACTTTCTCAATCTGGAGTCAGGGGTCCCTTCCCCAGCCTGGCCCTTAGGGTTGGAGGAGGCAGCCTCCAGAAGAAGGAATTTGGAAGGCCTCTTGCTTCAGGCAGCCAATTAGAGACTATTTGGGTTAAAGAGCTACTCTTCTGCCTGAAGTGATTAAGCCTGGCTCTTGGATAATCACATTTCATTGGATCTGTTTTAATAATGGAATGCCAGCTCCTCGAGGCACTGTTCAGTCCACCATTTTACAGATGGGGAAACCAAGGCCTACACAAGGCAAATCATTTGCCCAGGAACACTGAGCGAGTCCTTGGCAGTGCCACCATTTAGGCCTCCCAACAAGGAGTTGAGTCATTTTTACCCCAGGAAGCTGTCGGTGATCTGTCTTTGGGAGAGGCAGGAGCACAGGAGAGGTCGGGGGAAAGAAATGAGGTCATTTTTCACCTTCCAGAGCTGAACTGGGGACTTTATGTGAAAGGAGAGGCCTGGTTCAACCCAAGGACATCTCCTGGGGGCTCAGAGGTGAGGGGAGACCCAAGTATCACGAGAAGGAAACAGGATATAACAGCAGAAAGCACTGCCCAGCTGGTAGGGGCCCAACCAACACCTGCTGCTGTGTGACCTTACAAGCACCCTTCTTACACCTTATCTCACCCACCAGCTGCCATAGCAGTGTGCACACCCATGGTTCCTCTAAGTAGAACCTTCCTCAGGGACTCAGTGGAGACCAACAGACAGAGAGTCCCTTGGAAACTTTTGTGTCTCTTTAGTCCAGGGACATCCAGCAAGGACAGTACCTACCTGGCAAGTGATGTGGAGGCCACTTGGCAGGACTGCCTAAAATTTGTCAGGAAGTGAAGCCCAGACCTCTGCAGGTTCCTGTGCAGAACTGGGGCCACACCGTGCCCTCCTCATTCCTGCTCCTGGAAGTCCCCCAGTTCTTCAGCCTTCCCGTGAGCAAAGTCCCCATCTACCACACCTAGTTCTCCCTCATGTGGGAGCAGCGAGTCCAAGGCTCCATCAGGTCACTCTGGGCAGCCTGGAAATGATGTCCTGTGAGGCTTGCCTGTTTGGAAGCAGCCGTTCAGGCGACACTGCCATCTGTGTGATGCTCAGCTGTCCAGTTACGGTAGCCACTAACCATATGTGGCTATTTAAATCCAGATTCAAATACTTTAAAGAAAACCAAAAATTCTGTTCCTCATACTAGTCCCCTTTCCAGGGCTCAAATATGTAGCTGCTGTCTCAGAGATCCCAGAAATAAAGCGTGGCCCTCCCTGCAAAAAGTTCTGTTGCGGGTTCTGGTGCAAAGTCTTTAATCCAGGTCACAAAACTGCACCACGCTCCACCCATCACAGCCATGATCATCTCTGCCGTGGGCCAACAAACCTATTTCACTGGCCACGGCAGCATTTTGATGAATACATAGAGATCCTTCAAAGAGCAGACTTGCCCAACCCTGGTGTGCAGAGAAGCCTTATTTTTTAAGGACAACTAATTGTACTATATATTTTAGAGCAGGGGCTGCTTGGGCAAGATAAACATCGCCTCCTGATTGTAGTTTCACACAGATGACTAACTTGGCCAGGGTTCCTCTGGCTCCCAAGAAATTTCCACAAAACCATCAAAGGATCTATTTTCCTACAGATGTACACAAGAGAGAGTTGGGAACAGCAGCAAGTGAGGCAATTTATCGCCCCCTTCCATTCTCATTCTCTCAGGAGGAAGCCTTGCCAGTTTGGGAGGACGTTTTTGAAGAAATAGGGAAGGAAACTGATCTATACTGAGCAAGTCCTACTTAGCAAGTAATGTCAGCCTTAGGGCAGTTGATCAGGTTACTGGGTGGAGGACACTTACAGAGCTAGGGAGGAGGGCAATTTGCCCAGGCACCATGGTGGATGTGTTGTCACAGCAACTGGGAGAAACAGAGACAGAGAGAGACAGATTGAAAGAGAGAGAGAAAGAAATTTTCCCGTTAACACATTGAGATCCGAAGAGGTTAAATCTCCTTCCAGGCCACACCATTTGTGAGTGGCAAACATAGTTTTTAATAGCAGCTAGTCTGGTTTCCAGCCCTTGCTCCAAAGTGTAGGACCGAGGCCCAGTTGCTCAATGACCTCACACTCCTGACGCTTTCCAGTAGTGTCCTCTCTTCTTCTGCACTGCCTCTTTCAGGCTCTCCTGAGTTCTTTCTGGGCTCCTGTTGCCTGCACTTCATCCTGGTGCACTGAGCCTCATCCAGCTGGGGACTTGCTCCTGTGCTCTTGTCCACCTGACAAGAGCACGATGTCAGTGAAGTAACAAGCCAAACTTCCTCTTGGGGATTCTGTTACTTTTTTGGAAGGTTTTCACTGACTTCCAGGGAGAGTTCCAGAAGAAACAGTGAGAAACTTGGGACTTGGATAAAGAGTATCAAGAATCTCAGCTTTGATGCCAATCATTGTTGGCAAAAATGACAAAACCTATGTGGGCCTCCATTTTTTTTCTCTCACAAAGTGAGGAGTGAGGATGAGCCCCTAAACCTGGGTTCTTCTGGTGGGTATCAAAACCTCACCTGCTCTGTCTAGCACAGAGGGAGGGAGCAGGCAACACGATTAACACCTTCCAGAAAGCGGGCACTTTTATATGGACATTCCTCCCATCTTCACAACAGCTCTGTGTGAAAGTTTGTCAGCCCCATTTCACAGAAGAGGAAATTGAGGTCCAGAGAGGCTCTGCTTGCTCAAGACCACAGGGTGTTGAGTAGAGAGGGGGCAGACAGAACTCAAACCCTGAGCTCTGTCTTTCAGTTAAGAAATCTTACTACCATTCGGCATGAAGAACTCACAGCACAAAAAGTGGGCCACAGAAGCCATTGAGCGCAACACTCCTCAGGACACACACACACACACACACAAACACACCCCTCCACCCCTGACAGTCAACAGCAAACCAACAAACTGCCTGTAAAGGGTCAGACAATCTTGTAGCATCCGGGCAACACGCATATGGCACTGTGCTGTTAGAGTCAAGTGTGGTCTCGGCATAAAGACCAGCAGATGCTTACAAACACCTTGCCTCGCTCTCCATGGCTTGCACCTGCTCTGGGACAACACCTCCAGCCCTCAGCACTGGCTTCCTCTTGTCCAATGCAACTTTCTCAACCACAACAGCCTGGGGCCCTCCGTCCCATGACCTTCAGCGTCAGGACATTAGTAGTATTTGAAGTCAAAGAAGCAAGCCTCAATGAATCAAGAAAACATAAGCTCTCATTCCTCCATCTTAGTGAGGGAAAATCCACACATGGAGGCAGAAAAAGCCCTTTTTGATGATGCAAAGAAGATCATAAGATCTCTCAGAATGATTCACAGAGTAAGAAAAGAAAGAAAGAAATAAAACATTCTCTTTTCATAATTTTCATAACCCGATGCTCACAAATCAGGTTAAAAGAAATTGAATTTTTTTTTTAATTCAATGGCGCTGGCAAGGGTCACGCTGGATTAGAATCCAGGATTTTTCCCAGTGAGGACAATCTGGCCCCATTTCTGCTGTGGATGGAGTCACCTGATCTCCTTCAGGGTCAATGGGCGCTTTCATGCCTTTCATCTTTAAGACCTGAAATAATTTCTCCTGCCAGAACCCGAGCATGTACTGTACATGACTCTGCAGTCAGAGGCTCAAAAACATTTTCCCCAAATCACTTTTTAAATCCCAATTAAACAAGTCATAAGATAAGTGAGCAAAATCACTCATTCTTTTTTCCTTAATCTTTATAATAGCGTCATTTTGGCAGGAGGAGGTAGTGGGGGGATAGAAAATTATTTTTTTAAAGAAAAATTGCTTACACACATCCAAATAAGAATAAATAATTTGTTCTTAGTATGAAAGTCCTTTTCATGTTGAAAAAAATTATTTTATATCAAGATTCCTCAAAATAAGTGACAGTCAGCTGGGCACCA